CCTTTGCCGGAAAGGATGCCACTGAGGAGTTCAACATGAGCCTTGGCTACTGCTTGATAAAAGAACTGCAGTGTGTGCTCTCCCACGTCCCTCTAGCGACCTTTTGAGAGAACCTCCAACTCCTGACCTGCCTTTGTTTACTAGGCTTGCTTCTGTTGCTGTCGCTGTCGTTGCTGTCGTTGCTGTCGTTGCTGCCGTTGCTGCCGTCGCTGCCGTCGCTGCCGTCGCTGCCGTCGCTGCCGTCGCTGCCGTCGCTGCCGTCGCTGCCGTCGCTGCCGTCGCTGTCGCTGTTGCTGCTGCTGCTGCTGCTGCTAACCCTTGAAGTTGCTACTGCTCGTGCTGCACTGCCATTGTCAACTGCCACTACCACAAGAGCTTCTGCAACTGCGACTGCTGTTACAACATGTATAGAATCAAGGGAGACAGACCATACACATATACAGTACATATACATATATATATATATATAAAGTTATATGGTATAAGCATAGAAAAGTATAGACAAGCTCTTTTTGTGAATGATTCAGCAAAGGATCCATCCTCCTGATGTGATTGGAAAGTATGCTCCGGACTCTGTGATCGGCAAGATTGGCGGAGGTGGTGGTGGAGCAGTGGCTGGCGGTGCACCAGCAGCCGGCGGTGGCGGTGGCGGTATCTCCATGGCGGAGGTAGGAAAGCACAATACCAAGAGTGACTGCTGGGTTCCTTGGCTTCAAGGAATGAACCTGTTCGAAGAAGCAGTGTGCACCTGTGTGTGTGTGTGTACAAGTGGAAGCCAGCCACTTTTTGCCCCTTGCTGCATTTTTGAGGTGGTGGTTGATGGTCAGGCGCCGGGAGTGCAAATCCGTCTCTATCTACGTTAGATATAGAAGGTTACAGAGTTGTAGAGCACAGACTCTTGTCCACATCGCAGTGGGTGAGGTATACAGTCATTCCCTTTTGAAGTGCGCAAAACAAGCAGACAAACAAGAGCAAAGGTGCAAGCGGTCTCCGGTGCAGGTTTTGGACGTTACTTCATTCCTCTCGGAGCACCCTGGGGGCGAGCTGGCTATCTTGACCTTTGCCGGTTGCTTGCAAAGAATGAACAGAAATTGTGTTGGCATTCGTTTTACCGGCACGAGATGCAAAAGTGTGATTCAGGCACTGGATAAGTTGCAACCAAGTTGGTCTGGGCGTGCAACAGGTCAGGGGACTGATTGGCCATTGCCTCATCTGAGGAAAAGATGCCACTGAAGAGTTCAACATGTCCTTAACTTACTGCTCTCAGCAGACAGTGCTTTCCTTTGTATTCGTGCAAGGTCAAATGATACAGTAGTATCAATGTAGCGTGTTGAGGATTCATCCACCTGATGTCATTGGCAAATATGCCCCAGACTCTGTGATCGGCATGGTGGGCAGTGGTGCTCCAGCCCCAGCAGCCAGTGGAGGCCTAGCAGAACCCTTGTTGGCGAAGAGCGGCCACCAGGCAGGGCAGGAT